AGGGAGGCAGTGAAGGACAGGAAGGCCTGGCGCAATATGGTTCATGGGGTCACGAAGAGTCGGACACGACTTAACGACTGAACAACAACAACAACAACAGGTAAAGAGTTGGGGGATTTGTGGCTTTGCAACAGGCCAGGAATAGTAAATAACTATAAACTGAATATAAGCCAGCAGTACGATGTGCAGCAATATAGGGAGGCACAATATAGGGAGGCACAGTTCTGCCTCAACAGAACTAGTTTCCAAAGCATTTCCAATAGCTTGCAATCAAAGTAATTGTTCCACTTTATTCTCCTTTGGTTAGACCCCACCTTCAGGACTGTGTGCAGTTCTGGGCACCACACTGTTGGAAGGATTTAGAGAAAATGGAACAGGTTTGGGGAAGGGCAACAAAGATAATTATGGGACTAGAAACTAAGATTGAAGAAACTAAGATGGAAGAAAGATTGACAGATATGTTTAGCCTTGCGAAAAGACAACCGAAGGAGGATATAATTGCATTCCTCCAATACCTAGAGGGATACCACATAAAAGGTCAATGTTTTACCTCATACCAAAGCGCAGCACACAGAATAATGACTTGGTAGATTCTGATAGTATGTTAGAATGTTCCTAACAGTAAAAACAGTTTGACAATGGAACATGTTACCCAAATACATGGTTGGCTCCCATTCAATGGAGGTTTACAGCCATCATTTGGAATTTGGGGGGGGGGGGGACTCTTGCACTGAGCTTTCTGTGGTCCCTTCTAACTTGATGATCTGGCCCTCCAACCTGTTTAAAATCACTTCTTTATTATGTATAATTATATGCTGCTCATCTCCTTAACTGCACTGGGGAGCTAACAGGGTATAGAAAATAAATTACTTTTTAAACAAAATTAAACTATTACAGATAAAACAGAAACAGTATCATACAACTGCCTGGGAAAAGAAATGCATTTTGAACTCTCTTCTAAATTACAGGAGATATCAAATACACCTGTGGCCTCACTGATGACGCAAGTGCAGGTCAGACTTCATGAGAATAAGCAGTCCTGTAAGTCCATACAATGCTTTATTTACCTGTATCAGCAACCTGGCAACTGGCAACCAATGAAGTTGTTCCAGCACAGGGTTATGGAAGGCCCCAAGGGGAACACCTATTTAAATGACCCAGAACAATTGTTGTTCTTACCTAGATACAACATGCAGAATGGTAAAAAGGACCACAAGGGGCCCCACTGCCATTAGGAACCATGGAAAGACACCAGAGATCATTCCCACACAGAAGAACACCAGGATGACATTCTGTATGAACATTTCAGCTTGAAATGGCAGGCGGACATCAACTGGAGGAGATGGACAGAGATAGCAGATTAGGGCACACTAAAATTCTCACCCACGTGAATATAGAGAGCCAAGTTTGGTGTAGTGGTTAAGGTGCTGGCCTAGAAACCAGGAGAATGTGAGTTCTTAGCTTCCCCCAGGGAAGAAACCCAGCTGGGTGACTTGAGTTATAAATAAAGAAGGTGGGATAAAAATATAACAATAGTATCTTATGTATATACACAACACAGGGGGTTCAGCACCTTGTTATGCTCTCTCTGTCCAGGGAGAGAAATCTACCCCTATATAAGGCCAAAACGTTAGGCTTACCTAAGATTCATTCAGGCTTCTCCTTCTATTCTGCTTTCATCAACTGGTCTGTTCAGAAGTGTTCAGTAGCCAGATTCCCAGCCCCACCCAAGTGCCAATGGCTACTGGCTATCATTATTTTAGGAAGTCTTGCCCAAAGTGGTAAACACCTTCAAATGCTTTCACTAAGAGCTATATGCAATTGGACAAACATTAGCCTTCCTTCAAGGAAAAGTCATCAGTGAGTTGACCAAATAACTACCTCATTCATCATATTATTTCTTAGATTTATAACCTGCATTTCTTCTAAAAGTTCAAGATGACATACATAGCACACCCTCCTCCAGTTTTTATCCCCAACAACTTGGTGAGGTAAGCTGGTATAACACACTGGCCCAAAGTCAGTGAGCTTCCATGGCTGAGGATGGACTTGAACCTGGGTCTGTGGTCCTAGACCAACACTTGATCCACTGCACCATGCTGGTGTTGTACAGTGGAGCAAAAAAGTATTTAGTCAGCCACCAATTGTGCAAGTTCTCCCACTT